AGCGGAGACTGCGAGCACGCCGATCGGAGGTAGAAGAGGAGGACGAGGATTGCCAATGCGCTCGGGGCACGCGGTAGCCACTGGCAGCGGGCAGTTGCAGCCGATGCTTAGAGGAATAAACAAGGTTCATGGTCGGCTTTGCATCTTCCCTGCGGGGTTCTGGGCTTAGGAGCCTCGAAACACCTACATTTGGCGCCCAGTGGAAAGAACTCTGCCCCTGGGCCACGGATATTGAGGCAGTCTGCGACCATGGCCCTGATGACACCGTTGACCGTGCCCACCTATTCCGGCCAAGATATGAGGGAATCGCTCATCGATTTTATTGACGACCTTTTCGTATACTCGACCGTTAGCGGCTTCTCAGAGTCAGACATGCTCCGGCAGGCCCTACCAGTTACCCTGCACGCTGCCACAGAACGATGGCGACATCTTCAGGCTCCCTTCCAGTTCTGGAACCAGTTTGTCGTTGCATTCCGGGTAGAGTTCCTGCTGGTTGCCTTTGACTACCATATCCTCCTGAGACCCAGCGTGAGTTAAGGATAATGATTTTTGGTGAAACTCCCAAAAATGACTTTTCTTGGTACGATGGTAAAAAGTGTCATCCAGTTTTCTGGCATCGTACATTGCTTGGGCGTGGCCAATTGTCCAATGTATTGGACATCGGGTCTGAAGGTGTCTGTTGTCGCTTGATGATATTGGAGCAAGCATGAAAAAGAAATTGTTTCATTCGGTATAAAAGAATGCACACAAATTAAAAACTTTGTAAAATATTTATGGACAACATCATACAAACGACGCACAAGAATGGAGCTTGATTTCAAAACAACTTGTGATTCCAAAAGAACTTGTGGAAGAAACACTTTTTGCATGATTTTCATAATCGCAACAATTCCACGTACATTGCACCCCAAAAAATATTCATGAAAATGGTAGTACTCTTCATACAATCCCAACATCATTTCGAGTGTGCTTTCTCAAAGCAGTGCCTTTCTTTTGTGATGCAAAAAAAAGTTTGCATTTGGTACAAAAAAATTTAGTTTTCATTGAGCAGCCCTCCCATCTACAACGAGCAGCATTGGGGATGTCGGCAAGCCTTGGCATGTGGCCCACGATTTTTGTTCTCACCTCACTTGGAGGCAGGGGAGCTCGTTTTTCTGGAGGAGACCAGAGTGCGTCGTCATCGTCACTGCTCAACTGGCTCATCTGGGCCACAAGCACGTCAGCGACTGACATCCGAAAGTCAAGGAACTTTAAAATATCTTTTTTCTGTTTGCGCAAGCTGGACATGTCTTGCATGTACAAGATCCAAGCGTTGCAGAGTGCGATGTCAAACAGGTGAAAAATACAGCGTATCGTCCACTTCTTTACACGGGCTTTCATACGGTAGAAGCTTAGCATGTGGTCGGCCATATCGACTCCTCCCATGTTAGCATTGTATGTCTGGACAATGTGGGGCGTCAGGACATCTATGTGCCTTTTTTCTTTGGCACACCAGCGTCTGCAAGTGTCTTGTGGTTCTTTTCCATGCAACGACGACATCAGTGTCACCGGCTTGTTGTCATACCATCTGACAACAACCTGTTTATCGTCGTTTCGGACCCACATCTCTGATGCACCACGACCCCTCTGTTTAAGCTGCGATTCCGACGAAAGCTTTACAGTCTTTGGCACACGATTGTTCATAACTGTGCCGGTTGCTGCAATCTCTTTTTTGGCCAGCTTGTCGAGTAGCCCTGAAGAAGTGAAATACCTGTCGAAAAAAAGCTTCGTTCCTTTGGTTAGACTCTGTGTCAGCCTCAGTACCACGGATTCACCAATGCCTGAGCTCCCAGGGTGAAGAAGCGACTTTTTTCCCTGATAGATTTCAAAGTCAAGGATAAAGCCAGAGGGACTAGCCAACACCCTTTGGGTTAGGTTTCCTTGGAACAAACTGCTTCAGGTGGGTACGCCCAGTAAAAGGTATCATTTGCTCGTCAATACTCAAAAGTTCTTCGCTAGGAAGATGCAGACACCCATTTTGTACCTCAACAACAAGCGGCCGTATCCTCCACAACCTGTCCTGCGCTTTCGTGGCATCATCTACGTCAAGGGCATTCACAACTTTGAGTCGTGACCTCAGTGTGAAAAAACGCTCTCTTGTCATGTGGTTTGCAACTAAAGGCACTTTCGTTCGTTTTGCCCAGTACATACGAATTTGAGGGTACCCAAGACACGACATTGTGATCGAAAAAGCAAAAAATACTTTCAGCTCTTCAGGAGTCGTGCAAAGGCTCTTCCTGGTCTCGACCACATGTGCAGTGTTCATAGCGGTAGACATCGTCTCCCACATTTCATCCGAAATGTATTCTTGAAAGTACTCGAATGGTCGCCACAGGGCTCGCACTTCACCGCTGTCTGAGGTGACGTTGAAGTCCGGCAGCCATGCCTGGGGAGAACTGCAAGTAAAGGGCGTTTATTTGTTTATTTGTTTTTTTTATTTATTTATTCACTCATTGATTCATTTATTTATTTATTTATTTATTTGCTTCTTACAAGAAGCATTACAAGAAGCTGGTACTGTGCTAGAAAAGACGTTTCTCAAACGACGAGGGCGAAATATTTGTTTTGAAATTAAGGTAAGCTCGCGTCTTTGTCACCAGAAATAGTAAGTCATACCTGTCGGTGGTTTTCCAAAGCGCGACCCTTTTTGGAGCAGCAGGTGCAGTGTGTACGGGTTCCTCGTCACTGCTGTCAACATCCGGTTCTAAATCTTTCTCCAGGTCATCCAAAACGGCAACGTCCTCAGGCAGTTCTTCATCGCTGTCAGACAGGTCCAAGTCGGATGATTCCCTGGCTGCAATTCTTTCGAGTATTCGCTCGGCCGTTTCGTCACAAACGCGTGGTCGGTTTCCTGTAAAAAAACAGTAATAACACTTTTACAAAAAAAAAACGAGACGGCAAAATACAGGCAGACCATTAAGCAAATAAAAACATATTGAAAGAAACGAACGGGCAAAAAAATGTCGGTTCAGTCCCGTTGTCCAATAAATTGTACATCACTATCCCATGGAGATTTCGAAACTACGGATGCAATTCTGTACCCGCCTCGCAAATTAACGCATTCTGGGTACATTATACTTTCTTTCTGGTCGTAAAAATCATGGCAAAAGACTCGAAAAGTAGAAAAATCTCACTTACTTTCACACACGCTGCCGTAAAACGCAGCGCCGCTGAAGGCTGCCATCTTGACTGCGTCCCACCAGGCTTGCTCTCGACCAATTTTTGTCCCACGCCGCTGGTGGCGCTAGTAGTTGTCCTAATTATTGGACAGCCGGTTTCAGGGGCGTCAGAACAGCCATTATTTCTGTACTTTCCCAGAACCGTTGTCCTCTTTGTCAACAAAGAGGACAACGTTGTCCTCTTTGTCAACAAAGAAGCTCTTTGTCAACAAAGAGCTTCTTTGTTGCACTTCACTCGTCTTCCGTGGTTGGATGCTTCTATCTTCTGCAAGCTGTCCCCATGCCGCCTGCACACGCCATAAAAGCATTTCGCGGCTATCTTTTCTCGCAATTGTTTAACTGCAATAGTGGTATCTGCTGTGATCACGAGGGGCACCCAGAAGCGTGTGCTACGACCCACGTAGCGAACTTTGTGGCAACCTGGCACGCATGACGAACGCAACGGTGCTGTTTGACATTGTAGCAAGCAACCACCGAAGCGTCAAAACAAACCGTCGATAACAAGATTAACGACAAAATATGGCCACCGCGTCGCTGTCCGCATGAGAAGTGCATTCCTTGAAGTACGCACGGATAACAAGCATGAAGAGCGAGAATTTGGGGTGATATCGTGTTGTGGAAATAGTCACGATATTTTCTGGGTGACAAGCAATTTTTATCTAGTTTTCCAGAAACCTGTGAACCTATGGCCACGAATGGCCCTTTGCGACAGCCATCGCGAAGGACCATTGCCATTTTTTTGCCAGCAAAGGCAAACCAGTACAACTGTAACAACTGATCATAACACTAAAAAACCCACCATCTACAGCTGCGATTCAAACACGTGCTTTTTGAGTGAAAAGCAAGCATTCTACCACTGAAGCACTTAGGCGGAGCCGCGGGCAACGTTAAAATGACAACACATTGCAAACTTCCGACCACAACTCTAAAAGCAGACTGATCCTGTTTGGGCTTCACTGCATTGGTGCCGTGGCCGTCCCGAGCACTCCCCTGTTCTAGTACGTCAGCAGCCTTTCTTGTCTCGTCCAGGCGAGCAGCCTCTCTTGCCTTGAACAAAGTCTTGAATGATTGCTGCTTTAGTACAGATGAAAAGTGCCTTGTACCAGTCTGTGCATTGGTATTTCCCACCAGTTATGTCCCATATATGAAATAACTCTACAGTGCTGGAAGAACCATCCAGTCATATTCCACTAGTCTGAATTGCATGCTTGAACTGCATGTTGATAGTTTGAATGCAGGAATGCATCACATAAAACATGCATGGGATTTTCAAATGACCTTATTATCCAAGACATCATTGCCTGCCCTGCATTCTCCCAGCGTGTGCTTCGTGCATCTTGGCCTGCTTTTTGCACCATTGCATATGATTTATCTTTTCACGTCGAGTAAAAGGAAACGCAGTGGTTGTATCATGAGCATATCATAAAAAACTTGATGGACTCCTGCTGGCAGCATTTTTTTGTTCATTCTCCCCGGTGGACATAATTAATCAAAGGCCCATCATCCTGCTTCTTTTATATCCTTATTGCCAAAATGTCTGCCTTCCCTATTCAACATTTCAGTAGCCCTCCTTATGGGAGATTACCTGCAGGCAGTACAGGCATGTGCATATGAGTGACATTATTCAACAGTGGCCAATATCATGCTCGAAAAACGCAAGTTTTGGCCTGTAGAAATGTACAGGTTCTGACTGAGCCCCTAGACTGGGGTAAAATTAACTAAGAAAATAAATTTAATGGAAATCAACTGCAGGCTTACAGTATCCGTATACGTATTCTCCAGGTACCAAAAAGCATGGCGAGACTACGTAAAGTTTCGCCACTTGCTTGCCAACAAGCCTAAGGTGCTTTACTCTGACCGGCACAAGCTACTCCAGAAGGAAGTCAAGCTTCAGGAGATGAGACTCAAAAGGTGAGGCTATAGTTCTGCTTTTGAACTGAAGATGCCACTGCTTTAAGGTGGAACTGTTTTGGTGGAGATCTTGGCAAGCGATAGAAAAGGAATATTGTGACTCTAGTGAGTGTGGGAAATTTTTCATGGACCTTCCTCACTCACATTATATGAAGCGATCACAGAGCGAGGCCGGTGTTACCAGACTGTGTGACGTTCCTTGATGTGTGTGTGTGCGCTGAAAAGGAAATGTATGAGTGGGTATGCCATTGAGTGGGCCATTGAGTGGGTATGCTGATGCACATATACACGGTGTTTGATTTACCATGCAGCAGGATTTTTAAAACGTGGAATGATGTTACTCAAAGTAAACCTTGCACATATTGTTCCCAGTATACTGTAGTAGCCACTACTAATTTTTTCATTGATGAAGTTCAGTCAACTAGTTCTTATTATGTTTCTAACTCGAGAAAAACTTGCCTAATCATTAAGATGTCACTGAGGCATATGTAGGCATGTTCAAATGATATCCAACTGTGTTATTTTCAACAGTACAATCAAACCTCAATATATCGAACACAGATATATCGAATTATTGCCTATATCGAACGGTTCCTATATCACGTGGGAAATAGCATGCATTATTGATTTTTTATTTCGAACAAAGTTTGACATATAATGGATATGTCGAACTCAACCACCCCAAACCACCCGCGCTCCATTGACAGGCGGCGGTTTTTCCGCAACTCTCGAAAGTAACGGTAGAGCGGCGGGCGTTTACGAATACTGCACACATCGATGGCGCCGAGAGTGCCGCTTTAACGTAGCGGCGTACGCGCGCCGTAGCGTTCTTGAAAGAGGAAAGTGAAGAGAAAAGCGCGGAGCTGTTATTGCCTTTCAATACGAAGGCACCGACACGGCTTCGCGTGGGGGAAGGGGGAGTGGGAGGTAAAGATTGAGGAGGAAAATATAGGAGGGAAAGGACGCAGACGATTGTCTTGGACGCGGACCGCGCGGCCGCCGGAAAAGGGAAAGCAGTCAGGCGAGCCAGCATGGGCGCGCCATGTGCGCGCTTTACACCCGGACTCACGCCGCAGCCTTGGAGCTTGCAGTCGTTGCAGTCTCTATGGTGTCAACGGCACACTGCGCACTTGTTGCAAGCTCCTTCCCCGTAGCATCGGCAGGCATCGGTCGTTGTGCTCGCAGTGTCCGTGCGTTTGGAGTTAGGCCTGTCGTGCGCTGTGGTGCGCGACAGGCCTAACTCCGAACAGTGGAGCTCACGTATGTGGAGATTGTCACCGAAGCTACTGCTGAGCAGCCAAATGAAGACTCTGCCGAGGTGGATCCCGCAAGCGCTGATGGTGCCCTGCTCCCGACATCAGCTGAGGTCGTAGCTGCCTTGGCCCTTGTGCGCCACCACTGCGGTGCGATTGAAGGCACCAGCCTATCACTTATGGATCGCCTGGACTATATTGAGGACTCAGTCAACAAACACGCCATGGCCAACAAAAAGCAGGCTACTCTTTTTCAATATTTTAAACCAACACAATAAATAGTATCTTTGAATCTTCAAGGGAGTATTTGCTGCACCACGCTTGAACGGTTCGTTGGTTGTTTTCAGCAAGCTGTTGACGCATTTTTTTCCTGATTTTTTTTATATCGAATTTTGGATATATTGAACTATTTCACGATCACCGCACCGTTCGATATATCGAGGTTCGACTGTATTCTAATTCCATGCTTGCTATTTTTTGGCTAATCAAGGAAGCTGATGAAATCTGAAGGAAAAAAAAAAAGACTTGTGACTTGACAACAGCGCACATCAGAAATTAGCTGCCTCAAAGAGGATCACTGCGAGGTCGCAATTCCCAACTATGCTCCCACTTTCTGCGTGTAGGAGCATAGCCGCATGTCATTATTCATAATTTGCTTGCTTTTTTGTCAGCCTGAAAAAATTAACACATAATTAGTATGTAGCTGGAAATAGCTCAGTTAAATGTCATTTTAGCATGCCTACATATGCCTCATTAATATTTAGGTGATCAGGTGTGTATTTGTTGAGCTAGAAAAATAATTAGGACTAATCAACTAAACCTCATGAACAAAGAGATTAGTTGTGGCTTCTACAGTATATACTGGGAACAATATGCACCAGGTGTGCTTCACGTAGCAACGTTCCTCTTTTTCTATGTCATGCTGCATGAAATTTTGTACACCCTGTATATAATAGCCAGTAGCCAATTTCAAGTTGACATTGTTTTTTCTTGATGCATAGCAAGGGCTGACATCACACTACTATTAGGACATACTTTTTTCCCACCCTGCTTATGTCCCATTCCTTTTTTGGCGAAGTGCTGTGTGCGAAATTTCCGGAGCCCTCCACTACAGCGTCTCTCATACTCATATGGTGGTTTTGGGACGTTAAACCCCACATATCAATCAAATATTTCAATTGTGACAGTACTTTTTTTTTGGCTTTGCAAGGCAGTCATTTTCTGAAATTCTTTGCATTGAAATACACATTAATACATTAATGCACATTTGCACATTATTAATGCACATTTGCACATTAATACATTTAAGGGGAGATGCAGGTCGAAAAACGCGGGTTTTTTTTTTTAAATTACAGATTTTTTATATTATTTTTACCTGTTTTGATAAGATTAGTACCTCTACTGTTATGAAAAAAAAAGTACAGATCGAGACTTAGCTGGAAATGACTTAGCTGGAAATGCTTTAAAATTGCATCTAAAGAGCACAAGGTGCCTGTTAAAAGGTCCAAAGTGTGCAGTCTTCGAGCACCTTGCCGCCGATAATGCGCCGCGGCTTGCCATTGTTGATCGCATGAGTCAAAGAGTCTAGCCTCACTCTTCAAATAACAACAGTTTCTCTCGCTGATGCAGCGCTAGAAATAATAAAAAGAGGCACGCTTCTGCGCGTTTCTCGAGCGCCGCGACTGGCTTTTTACGTGGTACGGATCGGGGACCGCCATTGGCTGCTGCGCGCCTGTATGCGCTGTGAAACCTATTTGCGGGGTCCATGTCTTGTCAAGCAGCGTAGCTGAACAATGCTTTCCTCGTGTAATTATCTCCTTTATGAATGAAAAAAGGAATTGCTCGCAAGTGAAAGCCGTTGTGCGGCGTGCTCTGTAGGAATAGGCTACGAGCAGCTGGTCCGATTTGCGGCAGTTAATTTGTTGGCTTGCAAAAGCCAATGCGTCAAAAGTTATTCACACTCGTCAGCCGGAAAGTTCGTGATGCGGCAATGGATGACGTCAGCGCCAATCTTGCGAGGACGAAAGAGCTCGCAGTCAGAGAGAACTTAGCGGGGACGACATTGCCAATATGTACGATGGTATATGGCACAAACATGGCCGCAAAATGACATGACACTGCACTTAGTTTGGATTTTGCAGTCCTGTCGAACTTCTTCCTAGCTTGCAGTTGGCACAAGGCTCTGCCAGATAGAGTGGAAGTTTGGCAAGCGTTTCATGGCCCTCTCCGTGAGCGAAATGTCTGTGAGGAGTCGGCTTGAAGAAAACGAGAGGGACAAACTCTTAGTGCTGGCGTATTTTAGTCGCAGCGGCCACTACAAGAAGGATTGTTCTTTTTGGTGTGTAAATTTTATCAGATTTAATGATATCTTTAATAAATAAAAACTAAATTTTAACTTTAAAACTCGTTTTTCTCAAAACACCAATTTTGCCATTTTTTCCAAAGTGCCCTTCCTTTTTCGGGCACTTCTAGTGCTCGGATCTGCATCAAATTTTGTTCACATTTTTTTTCAACGTATGACAAATGCAAGTACCTAGTTTAAATTCCAATATTTTATTGTATAATAAAAAGTTGTATGTAAACCTTTACTAGGGTAGGTCAAATGTGGTCTTTATAAATCTATTATGTTTCACGCATATTACATATTTTGTATCTGCTTCCTAATTAGTTATTTGCATTCTACACTTTATTTGAAACTATATGATGATGAATAGTAAAAATTTACAGAAGTTTAGGGATGAAAAGAGGAGGGCAAAAGGGTTAAGGTTTTCAATTTGTCATGTTGCAGAGCTAAGAGTGTGTAACGTGCAAGTAAACTAATTATATATTTGAAATCAGCATAAAAGTTTCATAAACAGCTCAAGTTTCGTTGTTCTAGGGTGAATATTTAAAAAAAAGTGTCTTCGAGTAGTATCTCCCCTTAAAACAAAAGCTGCAAGTTTAGAGATGAAGATGGCTGTGACTTCTGCAGTGGAGGCAAGTTATTTCAATTGTGAAAATACTTTTTTTTCTGGCTTTGCAAGGCAGTCATTTGCTGAAATACTTTGCATTTTAATGCAGTAGCACATTAATACATTTCAAACAAAAGCTGCAAGTTTAGAGATGAAGGCAAGTGATTGCGCTGTTATTTTCTTTCTTTACCAGCACTGGATCTATTGCGTTCAGTACAGTTACTCTCTACTAATAAAGAGCCATTGTGATAATCAAGGAGCCGCATTTGGGGTATGTTCAGGTCACTGCATGAGCTGAGAGCCAAGCATGATTTGAAATTGTGGTTCCATTAAACAATTGCCTTCACCGTGTTTTTTTTTTTTTTTTTTTTAAGTGTGCTCACAGCTTGATCACTGTAGAAAATTTGTGTCTATATGCTACGTGGTTCCAGATCTACAGCTTTTTTTGTTTTATTTAGATGTGGAAACATGGGAAGGAAGGTTGCATTAGAGCCAGATATCCAAGCATCATAGAATTGAAAATCAACAAATAAGGAAAGAAAAATAATTGAGAGCACTGTACACATTTGATCACCAGCATACAACTCATGCCTTTGTGGGGAGAATCCAAAACATATAAGGTAGTCTCACTGATTACCACAGGTAGTGTAAAATTTTTATGCACTCTCAGGTGATTTGATCATGAACTGTATTCATCAAGATCACTACGAGATCAGGAGAAACATTGATGTCAGACAGTTAATTAGGTTTGTGTCCACTGAAAAATTTCTTAGTCCACCCAGTGAATGCCTGCAGTGGCCATGGTCCAAGCACTTTGCACAGTGTGAGAGGTCGTCTATCAAGTATGTTTAAAAGGCCAGTAAACAACCCCAAGGTTCAAAAATTGTTGTAAAGAGAAATATGTGCACTTTTACTTCGTGAACACGCTGCCACAAGAATTTTGTGGATACATGCTATATTAAGGAAGGTACAGGGGCTAGAACATAACGTTCAGCTGGTTTCAAATTTTCGCACGGTCTCGCCACCCTTTTCCTTCAGAGGAAGGGGAAGGTGTGGCCCGTCGTTGTGACTCTGCTCACTTCGGCAATGTGACAAGACATCAGTGATTGACGTCATCGGTGAACTCGATCAGTGGCAACGCGCTTCCGCTTGCTGCGATGCCTGGTTGTTTTCCGTTCACCCCGTGCCAGTGCTTCTCTGTAGCCTAGTCGCTCGATTTGTAGCCGACAACGATTTGCAGCAAAACTGCGTTCCAAAATGCGGACATGTAGTTGGCCTGATTTTTCTGGAGTTCAATTTTTTGGGAGCAGACTGCTGCGCCATCTGAGAGCAGCAACACAAAACACAAAGAATGCGGTTAATAGTGGGTGTGCCTATCAACAGGTGGCACGACAATCTGCTCACTCCCAAAAACTGGGTCGATGAAGTGTCTTGATTTCGATGCATTGAGCCTATGGGGAGTTTCGCAACTCGAATGATTGAATAGCTCTGTTGTAGCTGTGGGTGGCAACAGGAACTGTCAATGACTTCACTGCTGTTTGTTAAGACCTGGTTCAGACCAATCGACAAGCTGCGTGCTGCGTCACGTCGCCGATCGCCGAGTTGTTGTCATTGCGCTTGCAAGGAAATCGGTCAGGCGTAGGAAAGGATAGCGGGAATTGTTTTTCGAAATGGAGGCTGCGCACGGTGTGCAGCTCTGTAATATTCAGAAAACGTGATCGCTACGGTCTACTATGCGAATTACCGTGCTTGTTTAGGGGGTTTAAAAAAAAAGTCGGAGCCTGTTGACTGGCCTTTTAACTGATCATGCAAATGAGTACGCTGTTCTTTGTATTGCTGCCGTTGTGCCATTACATGCTTCATAGATGCATGGAAATTATTACAGAGATTGCACTCTGGGGCATTCTTCGATGTAGCGCGATCATCGAGGCGTGTATGCTACATATAAGCGTTGACTGTGTAGAAGTGTGTAAAACATGTGGTCAATCTTATGGTTCGGTGCAAACCATAGGAACTTTGTACAGAAGTAAATACTTTTTCCATTTATCAAATGATGTGTCAGCATAGTTTGTACTGCGAGAAATAAAGAACATGCATGCTTTCACGCATCCTAAATGCTGTTATAACTGTCAATGTTGTCGTCAGTCGAAAAAGTCCCACTGGCTTGCAGATTTACAATGCTGATTTTCTCGAAGCCACCATTTGTGCTCAAATCATACATTGATGAGCAATTAGCCGCGCTGCCGCGGGGATTTTTCATTCATGGACTACCTAACCAGCTGTGCAATGACGTCGTTCAGGCTAAACTGCATAGCAAAAATTGTGAATCAAGTGTAAGACCCAGTCTTAAGACCTCTTTGAATGACAGATCCAAGGGGTGGTGATTGTGGGGGAGGAGTGTTTAGCCATTCAACCACAGTCACCCCGCACTTACACGGGGGGCCGCGCTCCTTTCACCTAACCAGGTGGTTGTCCTCTGTCATCTGGCATGTTTGCAGGAAGACATATTGTCGCGAGAGGAAACAATAGACAGGAACTCTAAGTGAACGACTGTTTACTCAGCCACAGCAGCCCTTCACTTCTTCGCTCTCCTCTTCTGCCACCAACACCGCGTGGGATTACCCTCTCCCCAAAGAAAAAAAAAAAGAAGACACATCGCGTGAATGCCGCGGCTCTGAAAAACAACAAAAGGTAGTAAAAAATATCTGTGTCCATTGAGAAAAAAGGACGAGATGAAAAAGAAAAAAGCGAGAAAGAAATGTACGTGTGTCTTGAAGGGAAGTGCCACATCACAAAGTTCTTGACTTGCAGTCAACGCGAATAGTAAGGCTTTATCCTGGAGACGTGAACCACATCCGAGGAGTGTGGTCTACAAAACGGCGCGATGTGTCTGCTGACACATCGCGCCGTTTTCTTCACCTTCAGTTCACCCTCTTCAGTTCACTTCACCGAGGCGATGAAGAACTCGGTAGGGTCCGAAGTACTGACATAACTTTTCTGAGCGTGCACGTTGACGTATAGAAGTCCAAACTCAGACTAGGTCACCGGGTTTGTATATTACTGCTTTGTAATGGGTGTTGTACCGGCGAACATCTTGATTTTGCCGCGATAAAATGCGAAAGCGCACCAGCTGCCAGGTGTCTTCGGCACGCTGAACAAATACATTTGCGTTTGGAGTAATCGTGTCCGGCAAAGTTGGTTGGAGCATGGTGTCAAGCATTCTGGTGATGTCGCGGCCGTAAACCAGACGAAAGGAGCAAAGCCGGTGGTTTCCTGCAGGGCCGTATTGTAGGCAAATGTTATATACGGGAGGATTTCATCCCAATTCTGCTGATCCTTGGTGACATACATCGAAAGTATATCTGCAGTCGTTTTGTTAAGGCGTTCGGTTAACCCGTTAGTTTGTGGGTGGTACGCAATGGCTGTTCGGTGCGTCGTGCCGCTCAGCAACAGGATCTCTTGGAGCAACTGTGTCGTAAAAGCAGTACCACGATCTGTGATGAAAACAGCGGGAGTACCGTGGCGGAGAACGATGTTCTTGATGAAAAAGTCAGCCACCTCGGAAGCAGTTGCTCGCTGGGCGGCCGACTCCACCAGTCTGTCGCGAGAGGAAATGATAGACAAGAACTCGAAGTGAATGACTGTTTACTCAGCCACAGTAGCCATTCACTTCTTTGCTCTCGTCTTCTGCCACCAACACAGCGTGGCAATGTTTTATTCCCTAACCGTGGAAGTAGCACGGGTACTCATACCCACCAAGTTGACAACATATTAAGCTGAAAAATTTGTGAACACCGGAATGTCGCTGAAGCCAACATTTTGAAAAGTGGACTTCTTCAAGGCTGCCTTGAAGAGCATCCGTCCCCTTTAAGCTTGAATAGATCACTGGCCCTGCCCCCTTCCTACCAGTGTTATTTTTCAAGAGGTTTTTGCTCAACATTCAGAAAACCGGAAGTGCTCAATTTGAAGCTCTTGAATGTGCTCAAAGCTCTTGAATGTGAAAGGAGAATGCCAATTGGGGCTCACACCTCTAAAAATTATTGAGTACAATGGAGCATCATCCATAGTGAGTTTTGGTGATTATTGAGTGCATCATCTTTGTGAGCAATTTCAAAGATGTTCTCATTTGCGAAAATTTTTTTGGCTTCTTTCTATGTTGGACTACTGGTTTTCTGGTTAACATCCTTTTTCTTTTTGGGATGACCATTTGACACCTGCATTTGCAGAAACCGTATGTGCATGCTCACCTTGTTCCTAATGCTCCACTTCAGCGCACATCTTGCGCAGCGCATTGGAGCCAAAATGTTACACTCTTTCGTTATTAATGACTGCTCTGTGAATGTTGGCCAGGTTTCTTTATTTACCTTGCAGCAGTATTTCCAGTGCATATACTCATAGGTTCACTGAAAATTTAAACATGTTCTGCTCCAAGTGATCCTCGCTTCTGTTTTGTCTGCTCCAAACCTGCTCTACTGTACTGCTCCAAAACAGACTTTTAGATGCGGAAGCATCTTATACTCGCGCCTTGTAGTGCGCCGTCCGCGCCGTCCGCACCGCTTCTCAAACATTCGACAGCTGACGCGCGCGCATGCGCCGTCGCGCCGTCGCCCACTCTTCCACCATCTGTGCATCCCTTCCTCCTCTACACACCGCGCGTGCTTCACTCCTCCACCATCTGTGCACCCTTCCTCCTCTACATACCACGTTCGACATCTACAATTCTCCTGATTCTCCAGTGGACGCGCATGTGGCGTCGCGCTTCGAGAACATTCAACAGCTGACAGTGCATGCGCCGTCGAGCTGTATATATACTCAAGGTCGGCGCTCGCTCGCTCAGTTGCCACTCGTCGGTTGGTTTGTACGGCGCGTCGACGTCCAAGGTCGCGGTGAAATGAATTCCAACGAATCCACAAACACAATGATCGACGTCCCTTCGACCAGCGCCGCCCTTTCGCATACGTGTGTACGTGTTCACTCATTTAACACCCCCTCCTACAACCACGTTAACTAATTTAGCCATCGACCCAAGTAAGTTGCAATTTAACACCCCATTTCACAACCACGTTAACCAATTTAGCCATCGACCCAAGTAAGTCGCACTTTAACACCCCGTTAACCAATTATATGCTCCGCATCCTCCTCAGTGTTCCCCCGAGGGAAGCTGCGGGCAATTTTTTTTTCTGCTCCAAAAATTGCTCTGAATCCTTGACTGGTTGGACCACCACTGTTTCATGCCTTGTATTACGACATTTGGTATGTTTTTTGTTGATTTTTTACATACCCAAGGCAATCATTGTCTTTTCTAAAATATGGGTCATCGCATTGAAGGTGTGAAATCGAGATTTTCATTAGCAATTATCACTTCTAATTAATTGAAAGTTAAGGAACAGGAAGAGATGCTTCAAGGACAGTGGTCGTGTGACTATATGATTTGAAATTTTGATACTTATCCAGTCGTATGTCTATGGCAACCTTTTACAAAATTGTACAATCTTGTTAGCTAAGTTGTGTAGTCGCCCTGACATGTTTTTTTTTCTTTCTTTCATATGGACTGCAGCAACTTGAAGAGGGGTGTCACTGTGGTAGTAAGCAGTAAGGGGTTCTACCGGACGGGCATCATGTGTGATGTTGTACAGGTATTTAAAAGTTTCTTGTATTCTTGTGTGAATTTGTTTTATGCGTATATATTTATATTCATTTGCTATGAATAGATGTTTATATGAACATTTGGAGCTTCTGTGCTAAGAAGTGTGAGGCAAACATTACTCTCCATCTCTAAATACAGTCGATCTCGGATATATTCAACTCGACGGGGATCGTGAAATAGTTTAATATATCGATTATTCGGAATACAAAATATGCAGATTTAAAGTGTGAATTAAAGCATTTCAGGCCTCGAAAATCGTTACAAGCGCTAACAACAATTCACTCACAGTAAAATAGAGAACAAGGTGTGAATTGTACGTTACCGCACTTTATTTCACATGAAGATAGTCTGTAAACTTGTCTTACTTCTTGTGCACCATTAAGTTCGTCATCCTCAATATTATTGAAGCATTTCAAATAAGTGTGCTCAGCTGCAAGCCGCTGCTTGCAGCTGTCTTGATGTGAAAAGCCAAAAAAAGTGTAGCCTCCGAGACATGCATTTTAAAACTTAAATCACTAAAAATACATTACGAGGTAGCACATATCTAAGGCCGTGCTGCCTTTCTGCATCACATACCCTGCCCAACTGAAGGTCTTTTCCCTGCTCGCACTGGTAGCCAGAATTGCCCATGCATTTTTTTGGAAGTACAGCAAGCTTAAAATATTTAGACCATTTGTTCTCCCAGATGTTTTGTACCTTCGATGTAGGAGAGGGGATTATTCTGTGTATAGATGATCACAAAGCTCGTCCTTTATGACTTCTTCATCCCCCCTTACGCTTAATTAATGTGGGTAAAGGAAAAGGGACCCTAGAAATAGCACGGGGGCGGTCGGCTAGAAGGCTCTATACAGGGGAAAACTTTCCAACACGTCTATATTTCGGGCATAATACAGGCTTTGCATCTGACCCAGCCTGCCTGACAAAAAATATTGAAGCCCAAGCCCGGCCCGGGCCAGAGATTGGATGACGTCGGCCCGGGTGAACCCGGCCCATGGGCCGGGCCAGGCTCAGGCTTTCGGGCTACCCGAAGCCCATGCACACCTCTACTGTTTAATGCTTAAAATGCACCACTGGCAATTTTGGCTAACTTGTGCTACTATAGGAAAATTTATAATAGTTGACCGAGCATGTGGCGCTCATTCAGAAAAAATGTACAGAACGTCGAATTACTTTACTGACTCTTTGACTAAACTCGCATTCACTGTGACGGCAGCATTTTCGCACAGTGAGGATATGACTCTTTTGGCTCATATAGGACACTTCTGCAGCCGTTTCATTCAAAGCCTCTAAAGTGTAACTCTTTTATCCTTTATAATTCAGCAGTGATTTACATTTACACATTAACCTCACTAACAAAGTCACTTCTGTCATGAAAATACTTATGTCCAAAAATTATAAATCATTATTCGTAACACTGTATTTATGACAAGGCTATTATTTTCTTAGTTCATTATAACCGATAATTGGTTATATCAGAATTCATTACAATGAGGTTTGAGTGTATGGCATTATAACATAATCTTAGGGTTGTCTGCTACTTGTAAAGCAGACAAACAGTCTCTCTCTAAATAGCATTTTTTAGTTCAGCTTAAAACTGTCCCAGATAAACTGAGCATTGCCAAAAGCTGGGTGTGTTGACTATTCTTTTCAGGCTTTAGTTCAGCAAATACAGTGGAACTCTTATGAGCATCCCTTATGAGCATAAATACACTTATGAGCATCCCTTGGGTGAACAAGACATGCTGGAAAAAAATGTGTTTTCGGTTTCGTTCGATAGGTGGCGCTGAATTTTGAAAAAGGTCTATTATGAACTCTTAACCATAAGTAGTCGATGCTGTAAATACATTAGAATGAGAAACAGAGATAGCACTAAAGTTGCCTTTGTTAAATTTATCATGCAATATAACACCTATTTATCTTTATCATCATACAGCACGCTCTGCTCCTTCCTGTGCTCGTGTGCCACCTTCGCTTCCATAAGTCCTTGGACTTCCTCGAAAGCATCATTGAGACAGAATTCAAGGATCGTTATCTTCTTCAGGTGGGCTATATGATCTTTCTAGGAAAGACTGTATAAGTGCACAGAAAAAGGGACAGAACAAATTTTTAACAGATTGCTCATTGGGAACTTCTCCACAATCATGCTCATGAATTCTCTTCAAAAGTGGTCTTTTGTGTTTTCACGGGAAATCCTTGATGTATAATGTGTTGGTGTTCACTTCTGTTTAGTATTTTTACGATGTGATGCAAAGTAATGCAGTTAAGCCTTGATGAAATTACTTCAATATAATGAACTTCCCTAGATAACATAGTAGTATTTAACTACTATGTACTATGTACTACTAATTATGAAACATCATGTACTTCCTTCTTAACTTCAACATAAGCAAGCTTTGCTTTCTTATGCAGAATTCTAATATAATGAAGTTAAATTGTTGCAATATATGTTCGATAGCATAACATAAGAATACTCATGGGCTTTTCATGGTTTTACAACATGCAAGGCCTGCCGTAATACTGAATAAATGAAAAAAAGAAATGTATTTTTTATAGCATATTTCTTTATATAATAATAATAATTGAAAAGGGTATGTTTTGCTTCTGTTAAAGTTGTAGAAGTGACTTTCAGGTTGGCTGGCAACGATTTGGTGTCGATCACTGGCATTCGCCACGTTCAGTCAAGTGGTAAAAGCTTGCTGTATGAAGAAACCTTGTAATACTGAATGCATCCAGCACAGCTATAATTTTCAGTATTATGCAGTTACCTTGTGTGTGATGTCTTCATTTTGTAGTACCTTCACAACTCGGAACATACATAAAGTTATGTGATCATCTCAAAACATAGAGTTGGATTACGTCACCAGTGGCGTAGCTATGAAGAGAGAGATTACAGCCCCCCCCCCCCCCCCTAGAATTTAAAAAATTTTGCTTGCACATATACATTAAACTCTCAGTAAACGGAAATCTGTTAAACAGAACTACTGCTTAAACGGAACTATTGCCTTGGCAATTCTTGGTTTTGGGCTTGTATTCTGCACCCATGTTCTTCACCTCTCAGTCAACAGAACATATTTTTCCGGTCCCTTCAGGTTCTGTTTACTGAGAGTTTACTGTGTATATATATATATATATATATATATATATATACACGCGCACACACATACAATCGCACGCATTAACCTGCATGAAGTATGGTGAAACCCTCCCCCCTTCACAAACAAAATTTCTGGCTGCACCCCTCTTCTTCACTGATGTTCAAAACTGGAGGGTGGGTGATCACTAAACAGGCAAGGATTTTTCATTGTTGACATTGTAAAATTATTGAAATAGATCTTTTTATTTTTTATTTAAATTTATTTCTCAAACTATTCAAATATTCAGACATTTTTTCAGATCGCTTGTATCCTAAAACTTTGTGACCAGTAACAGTATGCGCTGCACTCAAATTTGCATTGTGAAACTAAAAATTGATAATTTTGGGGGTTTAACGTCCTGAAAGCACCATATAATTATGAGAGATGCTATACTGGAAGGTTCTGGAAATTTCAACCATTTAGGGTTCTTTAATGGGCACCTAAATCTAGGCACATGGGCCTCAAGCATTTTCGCTTCCATCAGAAATGCTGCCGCAGCGGCTGGGATTCGATCCCGCGACCTGCGGCTCAGCAGCCAAGTGCCTTAGCCACTAGACCACTGTGGCGGGTTGCATACTGAAACTGCCTGTTTATGATACAGAAAAGGCCGCATCGTATGTCCTTAATGGTTATAGCTTCAACCTATTCTACCAGGGTTGGGCATGTAGTGGATTTTAGAACCAAATCAAATACGAATCGAATGGTGCGAACAGTTTTCAAATAGTTGGGTAACTATTTTCAAAGCAGCCCAAGATTGCTAAGGTGACAATTCTCAAACCACCCCAAGAGTCCTGAAACATTATATTTTAACAAAAAAATCTGGAAGATGCTGGAAATCTGGAAGACTATGGGACAGCATAATCGCCTTCTCAAGTGCTAGCCTGCCTTCGATTTTTGGTGCATGTTTCAGCCATGCTCCGTAAGGAAACTAATGACTCTGTGCATAACATTGGTCATTTTAAACTGTCCTAGAATGCCTATAGCAATTACGTTTGTTAAGTGCCGAATATGCCATAATTCTTTTGAGAATAAATCAAGGCCTTATTGTGTGTCCGTAAGGCAACACTTGAACCTGCTCAGTTGCCCACTTTGTCGTTGTTTTTGCAGCTGATGATGATTAAATATGTCTAGCACCTTGTCATGGGCGAGCCTTTAAAGCACCCATTGGTTGTGCAATATCATGGCTCTGTAGTAGATCACCTGCTTTTAACATAGATGGTCTGGGTTCTAGTACTCTCACTCTAACCACACCTTTTTATTTTTTATTTTATTTGCATCTTTCTTGGTTTTCAGTCACAGACATGGTGATTTTTCACTTACAACCAACGATGACGACACCGATGCCTGAATTTCTGCGAAAATATTTATAATCTGTAACCTAGGAATGCTAAAATTAATTCTAACCAACCGAAAATACCACAAGTACCACAAAACGCAGGCGAGATAGTACAAAGTGGCAACTAGAGCCTGCCAAATACCGTACTTACTTGCATTATTCACACACTTTTTTTTCATGATTTTGGGGTTCTGAGAAGGGGGTGCACACATTACATGGGGATTTTCCGAATGCATGGGAAATAATGTGCAAAAGTCCTAAAGCATGTGGTATATACATAAAACAAAGAATTTGGAGCACAAACAAAGTGTGCTAACAGAATTAATCCATACTTTAACCAGTCAGATCCGGTCACGCCGCGTCTAATCGGAATGGCTAATGGAGAGGTCTGATTGGGAATCATTGTTGCAGCCGCTGTCACCGCCTTCCCAAAGCATGTCGTCTTCGGTGCCAGCGAGCTCGTTTGAATGCCCCATTTTCTCGAAGCTCTTCTTGACAATGCTGGGAGAAGCCAGGTCCCACAACACGGTCATACCAGACGACCTAACCTTTCGCACATAGTTGAAAAGGTTAGTGGCAGGAAACTTGTGTATTAGCTAGTGCCTACTCCTCAACTTACTCCCGTACCGATTGTCACACGTTGAAGAACTTCATGTTGAAGTGCTTGGCGGCGGAACCGTTCCCGTTTTCCTCGACCCACTTTATAATAGCGAACTGGACTTTCGTTGCATATTTAATTATTGTAGCCTAATGCGAGGGGACAGTAAAAGGGTGGTGGATAGATGGCGAAACCTAAACTTGCGAAATCAAACAGGCGTGCGTTGCAGTGCGGACAGTTACAAATGCAGAGAATGAGGGAAACAGTTCGCGCTCCAGGCCCTGGCACGCCTCTGATGTAGAAAATAGTCTGTGCCGTGTCGCAAGCATGCATTGTTACGTTAGAAGAGATAAGTTTGAGAGCGACAAACACTCGAGCATTTTCGATGACCCGTCAACAGGTCTAGGTGTTAAGGTATGGTATTGTAGGGACCGTAGTTTGGGGGAAGTCCTCTGAAGAAGGGACTTTGCACTTGCAGCCTGTTTAATCTATGACTACGCACACCTGCTTGGCAAGGGGTGCACCCGTACAAAGCTCCAAAGTCTCCTCATGTGCGTACCGGCTCGCTGGCTCGCGCGGGTCGGGGAGCGCATAGTACATAAGTATTTTTTTTTTTTTTAAGTAAAGCTGGGTAAATATTAGAGGTGCGCAAATTATGCGAGTAAATATAGTAGTTCTGTCTGCTGTTAAGCTCGATGAACTTATTTACGAAATCACCTGCCATGACCATGTAGTATCCCCTAATTTGCAATAACTAGTCCAGAGGTGGCTTCCTTGCGTTCTGCCCACATGGTGTGGGGCCGTGTCTATTTATTCAGTAGCGCCTGCCGGCTAGATCAAACTCTGCTTAATTCGATCAGTGTTGTAGTCTTGTTCAAGTTCAAATTAATGAGCTTTTATTGTACCAGAGAACAAAATCTTTGTGATTAACTCTGTTGATGCTATTTTCATTTAATTTTTATACTAATTTTGATTTCTTGCAGCTGGCATTGACACACCCATCTTACCGGGAGAACTTTGGCACAAACCCAGATCATGCACGCAACTCGCTGACCAACTGTGGTATCAGGCAGCCTGAATATGGGGATCGACGGATACACTATCTAAACACCCGGAAACGAGGTAAATTTACTGTGTTTAAAAGCTTCACCAAGACTTTCACCATTGCATTTGAACAGATACAGTGTTTCCACGCCACTTGAGCCAATTTCATATGAATGCAAGCTCCTGTGCAAAGCAGTAAAAATTGACCAAAATCGCACTGCGATGCATCAGGATGGCTTCAGAATGTGTAGCGCAGCTGTAAACATCAACAGCAAATTACTTCAGCCATTCACGTTTCACACATCATGCGACAGTTTTTCACCATTTCTCTTTTTATAAAACGTCACTTTTTGGTGCTTCCACTAAGTCTCCAGTTCACTGATGCTTTGGGCCGTTGTGGCTGTTGCTGGAATCCTGAAGCAGTTCTATCAATGGATAGCCACTGTAGAGTGCACTACGTGCACTAGTTGTGGTAACATTTAAAACATAATGTATTTTACCACCTATGCGCCAATCCCAACAGACGAGTGAAAAAATTATTTTGGCATACAACCTGCATAAATAACTGCAAACAGATGCTGCTTCAGGCAATTCATTCAACTTGATTTTTGTCACATAACTGTACACAATATTGTTTAAAATGGCATCTGTGAAGACTGAATTATTCAGTGGGTTTGTTCCCCACATTTTCCATTTCTCTGGCAACATAGTTATAAGGCTTTCAGGAAGATAACACAGCCACTTTACTAAATACACTAGTGCCGGCACAGAACTAAACCATAGCTCTGGTGACAGACGTGCAGCAAAGCAGCATTGATTAAGTTTAGCAAGCCTTACCCCAAAGCCTCGGCAGTGGATAGCAAGTCATTGTTAGTCGTCAGTTTTAGGCCAAAGTTTATTTACACAAGCTGTACTTGAGGAACACAAAAGCAGCAAACAGCCCTACCAAGTTCGTCTTTGTGCTTAGTGAACGCACTAGTTTTAGCTTCAAAGGGCAGCAGTTCGGGCAAGTTGCTGTTGCACAACCTTTTCATGATTTATCACTACTTGGAAAGGGCAAAGGTAGCAAGAAAATGAAAGGACTGCACTAACATTGACAAAATTGCAATGCAGTATTAAGTGCTACTTGCATTCAAGGTTTCACTTAACAGCATTGTGACTATGCGCTATAGGTGAACACTAAACGGGCCCGTGATGTCACCCTGTTGTGACAGCTTTGTGTGGGCCCAGGTGCTCAAGCGACAAGAGATGCGACGTAAACAACGACAGCCTGTTTCTACAACATGAACACACATATATGAAGGACTTACAGTAACATAAATGATCTTAAAATCCTTTGCGATGCAATTGTTCCTGCACTTCCTTAGCTACAGTACTATGTTCCTGCGGCCCTGACGCAGCGCAGCTATTTCGCATACCACTACACATGAACCACTCACACGTCGCTGTCTACGAGATGGTCCGACGTGTCGCCATGTTGCCTTGAGGTTGTGGTGCTGCTGTCACAACAGTCGCTGGGATGGCTGCTTCGCTGTAGCGTGGCTGGCCTCACGCATGCACCTGGAACACCGGCAGACCAGTCCTGCAGGCCTCAGCTTGCCTGGTTCGGTGGCCCCCGGAGTCGCCAACTCGCTCACGGTCTCGATGGTGACGTTTGCACCATTGTCGCCCTGCATCGCTTGAGTCCCAGTTCGCTTTGAGGCTACCCATGAGAGGTTCAGCGCCACAACGGACCGGTAGCCGTCGCAACCCTCGTTCTCTCCTGCTGTCCGAATGCCTCGACCCGCCTGGCTTCTCGAGCGTTCCAACCTCCTTCGTCTTCTTTCCGCTCCCTCATGAGCGGTGCCGCCGTGCACCACACACATTTTCGACCTCTTTTGACCTCTAAATCGTTGCACTAAAAAATGTACTTCACTCATCACATCTGTACAAAATTAACAGTACGTTCTATCACAACAGTGATGAGGAGCCTACAAACAAGTTTTATTTGCTCCTGTGGCTGTCAGAAACAGTGGACTTCCATATTTATATGAGTTATCAGAATAACATAACTTTGAAAATCATGAAAATTTCTGCTACCTTTCTTTACTGACATATAAGGAACAGACTTTTTAAAATTTGTTAATGCCTGGCACTAGTCCAGATGTTATATTTTTGTTCAATTTCTACTACCGTATTTGTTTTTAAATTATTTGACACTAGTTATATTTGCTTAAATTTTACTTCAAATCAAAAAGCATATATTTGTCACAAGCGTCATGAAATTTAACTGCTGTATATCCACAAACCAACCCCACCCTTATCTTTGGGGTTCAGTGTTATTTACCTCTTGAACTCTTTGTGTTTGAAAAACGGATCTTGCTTCCTTTAACCCAACATAAATGTACAAAAAGTAAGCCTTTATAACATAGTATCTGAGTTAATTTAATGGCTTCCTATCCAACCCAACATAGTGATGTGCATACTGCTACTTGTGTTCAAGAACACTTGTGTTCAAGAGCACAACATTAAAATAAAGCTTTGGAGCAAGGTGTGAGCAATTGCGCCCCACTGAGGCAACTTACCACGGTTTGGTAGTGGAGCTCAGATGGTTGAATCACAATACTAAAGTGTCTTGGTGATGAGATCTCATGGGGAAGTGAAAATATTTGCATCACCCGAAAGTTCTCACCATCAAAAAACTAGCAAAAGATATTTAAAACCACAATATATGCACAGAACACTTATTTCCACCAAAAAAAACTCGTACATTTTTCTGGGACACTGGTGAACAGATTAATAAAAGGCAGTGCACCTAGCTGTCGAAAATGTGTACGTCAAAGCTTCGTTAAGTTAGGGCCCAGAGCATTGTTACTACATATGAAGAACAGAGTCTCATTGATAAAACGTTAGGTGGTTACGGCCCAGACAAAAGTTGCATCATACAGTCTTAATGATTTATCATTTAAATCATTCCGGCCTAGACTAAAGGAAAGCAAGTTCCATACAGTTTTTAACATACTGTGGTATACAAAGAAAAGGGGAGGCGACCACTTCTTACCCACCTCAGTATTCTCTTAGCCGATCCATTTACCATTAATTGATCACAGCCACTCCTTATAGGACTTTGTCCTAATCTCAATACCAGTGTTTTTACAATTTCAACAGGTGTCTTGGCACTCTTTCTCATCATGACTCTCTCTCTTCGCCACACGCTCTCGGCAATTCCTCACTGTGAGGATGCATCTTACCGTTGTTTACACATTTTCGCGAAATTAGTCCTCATGGCTTGTTCTCGCTGAACACCCAAAGTGACAGCAAGTTCGCATACCACGCCCGAGATATATCGGTGTTGAAACCCTCGTGCCTTCCCACCGTCTCCCCACACTCGGAGAGCCAAAATCACGGTTCCGGTCATTGGTGCACAGACCGTCACTGTCTTTCTGAGTAGTTTCGGGAAGCAAGGGGTGTTTGCCTGTAATTGCTCCCCTCGCACTCGGACCGTGCGTTGCTGCATCGTGACCTTCAACTCGAGCTTGCCTTTACCAAGCAGTAGCAGGTCACGTAATCTAAGGGACGGAGTGCTGGTGCTTGGCTACGCCCGATCCGAGCTGTTCCTGGGAAACCGTTTCTGTTCCAGAGATAAGCACAAAGTTGAAGACCATGCGGCAAGAGAGCCGAGAAAGTAGTTGTAATGTACAGTGCCGCACTGTCTATTCTGCACGATTGAAATGAGAGTGGCAGAACCTAATAAGCACTATGTTGAATCAGCAGTCTGGTCTGCTGTTTATAAGGCATATTGCCAAATTGTTATTGAAATAGGTATTTCAGGGAAGCTTGGGCACTTTTAGGGTAGTTTGGTTGTAGTTAAGGGGGCAGACTGGTCTTAGTCATTTTTTGTTTATTTCTTCAGTTATCTTGATCAAATTGACAGGATTATACAGTTTTTTCTGCTTATTTCAAATATTTAATTAGTTTTCCTGTAACTCATCTTGTTCTTGAGATAACTTAAGTTCACCCCCTATGGTTTAAGGCCGCCATAGAAGAAAAAGTGCTTAATTAAAAGTGATATTTAAGATATGCCAACATAGACTAATGACTATAGAGTGAAAGTATGCAAGAGTTTTTTTTTTTAGGCCTTTCTTGGTTATCTTACAGTAAAATGAACTATCTATTTGCAAAAGCAGTTGAAATCGTTTTACAATTTTGATGAGTAATCAATCAAAAAGGCTTCTGCTGTAAATTCTGCTTTCATACTTGCATTCTACACACATACAGGTTTCTATTGCAAAAAGAATTATTGTTGTACCTGCCCTAGCTGCAGAGATATTGAGGCCTCAATATTGAACAGTCGTAAATTGACTTTTGGGGGGAAAAAATGGAAGAAATTATAAAAACACACAGCTTCTTCAAAAAGCAACAAATTCGTAGCAATAAAAAGCATAAATTCGTAGCAGAGCATCTGACACAGGTGCCGCCCAATCATAAAGAAGCCTCGAAGTCGGTTCCCCATTTTTTTGCAGGTTCTACATGTTAACAGCACCAAGTATCTGGACCGTTAGTATGACATTACACTAAAATTGCCTCTTCCTGGTATGTAAAAATTTGCAGAGAGATAGAAGAATACTTGCAGAAACCAAATATGTCAATTTTTAAAAAATGAATTTCTTTGGCACTTTTTGGTCCCAAAAGGCAGTCTGCTCCCTTAAGGGGTTGAATGCAACCTCCGAATCCCCTCTAAATCATTACGTCATTCCTGCCTATGCCATGTTAACACAGACTGTAATGCAGACTTTTCACATGCTGTAATATTTTAATAATACCACTTTTTGTCCCAAGAACGTGTGTGTTTTTGTAATCTTTAGGACCTTGGTTTCTATATTACAGGCATCAACACGTTGATCAATATCATGTCGCGCTTTGGCCGTCAAGAGGAAACAGCATCCAGCATAAGCCACAATGAGCGGCTGGAGTTCCTTGGGGATGCAGTTGTGGAGTTTCTTTCTAGCATCCACCTTTTCTTTATGTTCCCTGATCTTGAAGAAGGTGGTTTGGCTACCTATCGAGCCGCCATTGTCCAGAATCAGCACTTGGCCGTACTTGCCAAGGTATGTTATGGCGTTCCTGCGCATGCGCGAGCGTGCCCTTCCCTTGCTGCTTGTGGGTGCCACCATGCTGCAGTTCTAGTACACTCTAACCATGCTAACTGCACCAGCTCTCTTTAGAAAAAGAAAAATTCTTTTGCATTTGCAGTGCCAACTGTCTGTTGTTGCAGAAGTCTCTGAACTGCTATTCATTAACATGACACTAAATAACACCACTAAAAAAATAATGATAAATTCTTGCTCCATGTTGTTATGCATCAAAATCACGCCACTTATGAAGGGTACTTTTTTTAATATTCCATGGTATCTGTGTCCGTGTTTTTAATGACGATAGTCTTTCTCGGGGACCTTTGACGCAAAAACTTTGGTCTGTCTGTCTGTCTGTCTGTCTGTACATTTGTCTGTTTGTCCACCGTTACCGTGAACCGGGTATTTTAAACAGCACCAGCCGATACCCCGAATGGCCGACCCCATCCGCAGCGCCCACCAATTTTGCTCAAGAATCAGCTCATGTGTGTGCGATTGTCAATTAAAAAACAATTATTGCACATATCTGAGGCATCATAACAACACCTATATATTTTGCATGTTCGTCTTTTACTAGAAAAGGCATACATAAGTAATTCTAAGGACTGTAGCGCTTATCACGCTGCGCTGACCATGCAACGCTTGCACGGAAAGGCGAGTGTTTCCAACACTTTGCTAAGAAGACACAGTGGTGGCCCTTACCCGTCGCCTTGTGTTCTACACCTTATCACCTTTGAGACAAACGCGCACGCCCGTCTCAGGGCCACGCTCTTTGTTTTCTAAAAAAAACTGCAAGATGGCGCTCATGTGTCACGTGTGATGTGACTTGATGCGCTCGTTCACCTCCGCTGCACGCTCGAGGCACTGTAACACAGCGCCTCCGGAATACTATTCACCAATTTTCTTGTGCAGAACATCAAATAAATGTTTTGTTCTCTCTCTCCACATGCAAGACTATCGTCTTTCGACAACATTTGCAGATTACATGCAGATATGGGGCCAATTTTCGTTTTCGACATCGTTCGCATGTGCATGGTTTCACTGCGCATGCATGGAGCCGCCACTGACGACATGCAGCTTTGCCATTTTTTTTTATGCGGACAACTGTGTCGTCGTTACTGTGAGATTGTGTCGTCGTTACTGTGAGAGATGTGAGATTGGGCGCTGGGGGGATGAAAACTGTCCGAGACCATGGTAGCAAAGACTGATCTTTGGAGATCGACTCGTCGTGTGCTCTGCCATCTTCCGTCGCACAACGGGTGTGCTAGAATATAGCCTCTAGATAGGCTCCGGCAATGCTGCCTTGAGGGGCGCAGGCCCACCTGCCTGCCTCGTGCACACCCACACGCACAAATGAGCACTCGCTCACGTTTCCGGGGTTTCAAGTGCGCCACGAGCAATGCTGCCGCTTCGCACTCTGTCATCGACGGCGCAAGGCGCATTGCCAAAGCCCATCGCGGAGGCCACGGCTATACGATGACGGAGCAGCGTTGTACTGATGTAGTACTAGCGTTTAGTATTAAAACAATAGAGTAAAATAATGCAGTTTTTTGCCACTAAATAAGTGTCGGAGGCAAGGTCTGCCTTCAGCTTCTCTTTTAATTTGCGTGTTTCTTTTGCAAATTTTAGGGCAGAACTGCATGTAACAAAAGCAAATTATTTGGTCATTTATCAATTTTGTTGTACTCAGGTTGAACTGTAATCACATAAGTTGAAAGTCTGGTGACATTCAGAGGCTCAGTTTTTAAACCGGGGTCTTATGTACTAGAAAACAGTAGGACTTCTATGGTATCAGCCGTGTGGCAGCTTACCACTCTCTAAATTTTCGCCAGTTTGACGCCTCCTTGAAAAAAAAAAAAATTATGCCTGGGAAGTGAGCTGCAAAAGCGCTGCCCAACCCTTTCCGTTATCCTTCTTTCCAGGTGGTGCAATCGCTAGAGCCTCTTGTGGCGCTTTTTGCAGTATGCAGTGCCGTCAATAGCTCGTGCAGACGACACAGTGCACGTCAGCAAAAAGAAAGCCAGCATATTTGAAATCAATAGAATGAGTTCATCAAACTAGAGCATGACAAAATGCAGAACGTGCTAGCGATGTGACGTTGTAAACAAGTTTAGGACACTGCTGTGCAAATAAACAGCTATCGATAGAAATAAATGGATGAGGCAATATGTTGCAATGCCTCTTCTTAGGGAGCTCTTCCTAGCCTTGCTTTTATGCGTTCATGGAAAGTTATTAAACCATGTGTTCTGATTGTCTAGAAATGCTGTTTTACTGTGCGTCTAAGTGCTTGTTGAGCTCGAGAAAAGAGTTGCATGCTTGACATTCCAGTAGAGACCATGGAACAGCCATTTGCGTGACCAATGGCCTAGAGTTTCTTAAAATTATCTAGAGGGGACTTTCACGTTGCGATCGTTCAGCAACCATGGGAATGATGGATAGTAGTACACAAATTTGCCTAGTCTTCATGCTTCCAGGCTTCAACCACACTAGTGACTTTGTTTGTTGCTGTGTTTTGTTTTTGTTTCAAATAAAAGAACAGACCATTGTGAACTTTGTGACTTGATTTGCATTGGTGAGCAAGGTGGTGAAGTGCAACTGCTGAACATTTGCCGATTGTCGTTTCGTGACAAAGCTGCTCTAAGCCACAAGAAGCCAAACAGAGCCAAAAGTATGAAGATCAAATTTGTGTACTACCCATCATTCCCATGCTTGCTGAAGCACCGTGCATTGCAACTTTCATAGACACTAGCACCAAAGCTCCCTCTAGTGTATTTATAGGAATCTTTTGTGACCAGTGGCTGAAGGCAATTTCGAAAGATCACCGGATGCCAACAAGTAACCTTGTAGTATACAGCAAGCACTGACAGGAACACCGCTGCAAAACTGCTTGAAAGAAGACCTCTGTCGCGAAAGGTTCTTAAGCTCTAGCTGAACTTCCTGCAAGGAAATGGCTGCAATTTTTCAAACTGGCACTCATTCAGCACACTTTACAAACACTCATTCCAATGCCTGCACAAAGCAGCCGCTGTGCTGCTCCACCGACATAACATTGCCGACACCGTCGCTTTCACCAGTTCCGGCAGTACGGTCTCTTACATCTCCACACGAGGCCCACTCGAAGTGCTCAACAGCATGCATGGAATGGCAAAGCAAGCGATGTCTGAGGCTCTTCCCTTTTTTTCTTTTTTTTTTCTGGGAGCTGTTGGTGTGTCATCGACACCTAGTCTGAGCAGTAACTAGTTACTAGTAACGCGTTACTGGTAACTACCGTATAATGCGGAATATAGGTCGACCACATTACCTTGACCACAAAAAAAAAGAAAGAAAAACGCGGAATTGTTCACGGATTCACTTTATTCAGTCCTCCGAGCTGTTGGAGCTCTCCTCTGACAACTGCTTATCACTAGCCGCCTCCCATAGCATGTCATCCTTGGTGCTGTGGAGAGCGTTGCCGATGCAGCACTTCTTAAATGGGCGCACCACCATCTCTTCAGGCAGAGACCTCCATGCCTCGGAGACCCAACTAGAAACTGTTGCGAGAAGTGGCCTGCGCAGCCGGCCTGTCGGGGTCCGCGGGTTGTTGCCAGCCATCCAATCGGTGTACTACACACGCACACGGTCTTTGAAAGGTTTATTAAGGATGACGTCCAGCCATCGCAATGTTGACATCATCCCTCCTGGAATGACGACAAGCTCCGTCTTTACGTCACGAAGGATCTCCTTCACTGATGCCGTCAAATGCCCGCAAAATGCATCCAACATGAGCATGTTCTGGTGCTGCAGGAGGGCTCCGGCTGCTGGTTCCACACTGTACGAATCCACGCGCGCATTAGGGCCTCTTCCATATACATACCCCTTCTCGTTGACACGGACAATGACATCCCACGGGAAGGCTTCCTTCGGCATCGTCTTCCGCTTGAAGATGATGAAGGGGGGCAACTTTCTGCTGTCGGCCGTGCAGGAAAGCGTAACAGTGAAGCGCGAGTGCTCGCATCTGGCCGACAAAAGCTTCACCTCTTTTGCCCCGCGTTCACAAACAGTTGTAGACAACGGCATGTCAAACCACACCGGCATTTCATCGGCGTTGCTGATCTGGCCTAGCATCTAACCATGCTACCACCGGAGGCTGTTCACAGAGAGTTGAAATTCTATCAATTTGTCCTTGTACATCTCTGGCAGCTTCTGGCATATCGGCGTGCGTAGTCAAAGGGCAAATCCCTTGCGTCACATGAAGTGACGGACCCAAAAAATGGATCTCTTGAAGTCTTTCTTTGACAGACTGGCTTCACGGGCGAGCTCGACGATGGATTTTGAGTGAATTAGCTCCGCATTCACTGGCAAAGATCTGGCATAGTACTCGTGGCCGAAATTTGCCACTTTTTTCTCAAGTTTCGGGTGCACAGCTCGGCGACCGTGATACGACGTCTTCTTCACGTTACACACTGACAGTTTGGATTTTTGGTTGCGCCAGTACCTGACGCTTTTTTTGGACACTCTAAACTGCCGCTGTGCTGCCATGTTGCCATTCGCTTTCGCGAATTGAAGGACTTTTCTTTTAAACATGGCAATGAACTGGCGCCGCGTCCCGGTATTCATGGCTGGTCGCAGAGTAAGGTCGCCACTCGCTACGAATGAACAAGAAAAGAAAAATGGCGTCGGCAGAGAATGCGTCGACCCAAAGAGGGGATGTCGATGCTGATGCCCAAAAGGCATGCGACACTCCCTCTTACCAGACGATCACTTGGTTTATGCCAAGGGCCGATATATAGGTCGAGGTGTGACGCTTTAGTGACATCTTTTGGAAAAAATCTCGACCTATATTCCGCACTATACGGTAGTTACCTTTTTCAGTAACTTGTAACTGTAACTAGTTACTTCTTTACTGATTAACTAACGTAAAATACAGTTACATTTACTTCTGTTTTTTATAAAACATCATCCAACTGCCACACTCGTTAAAGGCCGACATTACACACTTTCTATTTTTTTTACCTTTCTTCTTTCAAATATCCTCTCCACCTTTCGACTTTCCACGGCTCTCATCCCAGTTTGAGAGAACTGGTCGCTATCAGGAATATCTTTCCTGCTGAAGATCGAGTTCAAAGTTTACTTGTATACTACACGTCTAAAAGCAAACACATTTGACAAAAACCTGTCTGGCTGGTTTAAAGCGAAGTGTGTCTGGAGGGTATTTTTATTCGTAAAACTACATGTCATAAATCAATAATGATGCCACTGAACACCTTGCCAAGTTCACGTGCCCCCCCCCCCCCCCTCGGTTTTTCTTTTTGTGGGGGGTCGGGGGGAGAAAAATATATATATATATATATATATATATATATATATATATATATATATATATATATATACACACATACTTCCCCTTGGCAGGTTTGGTTCCTGCCAACGGCAAGTTATCTTTTCACCCGCCTTTCTTTCTTCATTATCATTCGGTCTAATAACTTCCTCTATACTTTCCTTGGCATCTTTGTCTGTTAGATCTCATTAATATTGTGTCAAAACACGGAGACGCGAGCCCTTAAGTATACACTTCTTTCCTTTATATATATATATATATATACATATATCCTTTTTGTCACTTGACCTTCTATTCCTTTTCTTTGTATGCCGGTGAAGCATTCCTCCGTCTGAGACTACCAGCTTATCGTGTTTGACAGGTGGTTAGAAAACAGCAGCATGATATTGCTGAAAGCCTGAAGCATTTAAAACAGGTTTGTAACTGCTTGGGAAAGCTCTACTTCCAGTTAACACAACAATTATTAACAAAGTGATTGACGTTTTGCCTTCTATGCAGGTGGTATCCCTCAGTAGACGATGGCAAAAAATAAAAATAAGCGGAGGTCGATCATTTCATTAGTCACACATGTCCTTGCAAATGTCCGGTAGGGAGCCGCGGTTTGCTGTAGCAAGCCTGTGCGTTGTAGCGAATGAACCACGTGTCCAGAAGCCTCTCCCTTCCCCCCTCCCCCCACACACATTGTTAGGTCAAAACTGGCCCTGTGCAGCATCGTTTTAGCGTTTCACGACATGCAACTTTCACCTCCTGCATGCCTTCCTACGTCTTTATTAACGTATCATTTGTTCTGTAATATCAATTTTTATACAGTAACAAAAAAGTAACGACGTTACTTTTTCACTGTAACTGTAACAAGTTACTTTTAGAAAATCGGTAACTGTAACAGAGCTACTTTTTGGCTTCAGTAACTGTAACTGTAAGCCCCGCCGCGGTGGTCTAGTGGCTAAGGTACTCAGCTGCTGACCCACAGGTCGCGGGATCGAATCCCGGCTGCCGCGGCTGCATTTCCAATGGAGGCAGAAATGTTGTAGGCCCATGTGCTCAGATTTTGGTGCACATTAAAGAACCCCAGGTGGTCGAAATTTCTGGAGCCCTCCACTGCGGCGTCTCTCATAATCATATGGTGGTTTTGGGATGTTAAACCCCACAGATCAATCAAATAACTGTAACTGAAACACTGTTACTTTTTACTGGTAACATGCTCATGACGATACCTAGTCTGAAATGACCCACAATGCATGTTCCTGCCCAACCCCCATGTCATGATCACAGGCGTGTTTTTTTCAAAGAAATATTTTTGGCTATGCTACTTAAATATGGTCCTGCCATGAGCAGCCTGATAGACATGCAATGCTGTCCCAAAATATGGCATACGGGGAGAGGAGCTAAGGCACCTTATCATGTTCCCCACAGGCTGTTCAGGCTGTGATGCTGCAATACGTATGGTCGACATCATTTGTGGAAAAGTGGAATGTCACTTGGAGCTTGTGCAGCTTACTGAATGCTTCATGTTGGGGATAATGTCTAAGTGCTAAGAATTCCAATGAGCAGTCAGGCTTGCTGTAAAACCATATTAAATTATGTCCAATGCTATGTTCACCAGCAATACTTCATCAGAGGTGCTTATGTATGCAGGAGAATGTAACACAAACATATCAATCTTGAGATTTCTGTCAGTGGTTTTGCTCCTAATACAGTTGAGATGTGCGTGTTATTTTTTTGCTGGTTTTATTGCTTGTCTCTGTGTTTGCAGACTAGATAAATAGCCATGAAACATGCATTATAATTGTTCCTCTCTTTCCCACCCATTTATTTTGATTTTTTACCATTTCTCTCATGCCTATTTCAACCTCTGAAGAAATTGGAGCTGGAGAAGTACATGCTGTATGCTCATGGTTCTGACCTCTGCCATGATTTGGAGCTACGTCACGCCATGGCAAACTGCTTTGAGGCACTTATGGGTAAGGGCTGTCAAGTATAATAAATTGGTCATTGTTTCAGAGCAAGTTGATCTTTTGTTTCTTGGTTTTATGTACTAGAGCACTAAACAGGATCAGGTCTACCTGAAAACCAGGGCCAGGTAAGTAGTTCTTACGTAGGGCCCAAGTCTGAAGCTCCGGGCTTAGGGTTGGGCCTTGGTTCGAGATGGCTGGCTTGAGTAGAGCCAGGCGTTGCTTATGCTCACTTTGCTAGATATATTTCTTCATACGATGCACACACACAAACACACACACATATATATCGAAGGCTTCGCCTTCGCTCGGGGGATCAGTAAGCCAAAATTCGCAGGGTCGAGCCAGCAATGCTGAGAACAAGAACCGCCTTTAATGCGCAACTCAAAATAATCATGAACAGCCTTCCGAACTGGCTCAACACGGCACTAATGCACGAGGGAGGACAAAAAACTCTGAGACAACAATCCTTGCAGACTGGCGGTCAATCTAACATATGCAGTAAAACAACGACAGGAAAGCCAACATGAAACATAACAGCAAGAAGTAAAACTCACACGCAACTCGCCATAGAATACAGGCCATTGACTCGCCTTATAGTCAACGCCCCCAAAACCAGTGAGGCCTCGCCTCTATAGCACGCACGGAGGAAACACCCCTCGCGCCTACCGCGACTGACACCACATCCCATCGCTCGCCTGCAGTTTACGCATCATAAAGAAACCAAATCAAAACGCGCAGACTCCAACCCTAAACCACTGTGTAAGATATATAATATTTAGGTGAGGACTTTCTCAAGATGAGATCAACCAGATAAAGTAGCATCGCACGCTCATCGGTCCGCTTACCGCAGTGGATACCTTTCAGAGGGATGATGCAATCTTAAGACAAAATCGGGCATATCCCACACTCTAATGTAAAAGGTCCCATTTCAGTCTGTGACTACGGGACCTCCTTCTGTATATTCTTACGGTGTACTTGTTCTTTTGTTTGATGTGAAATAACTGATTCTGAATGCATGGCAGCCAGCATGGAGTGGTATACATGCAAGTTGCGGTGCACATGACATGTATTTCAATATTTCTACGTTATCACTTCTTTAAGTTGGTCGTACGGTCATGTCGAGCAATACTAATTTTGGTATATATAATGTTACGAGTAACTTGTTTAATGTTCTATTTACAGCGCACAGAACTCGACGAGCAAGATGGCGCCAGACCAGCATCCAATGAAAACTGACTTCGTCCTCCTCTTTCATGCAGCCGTGTTTAGCGGCTGTTTTGTATCATAACCCCCGGCGGTAGAAGCACCGTCCCGGTGCTAAATTTACGCAGATGATGTTGAAGGGGGGTAATAGGGCTTTAGTCGAGCCACGTGAACGGTGTCGCTCAGAGCTGACGACGACTTTGTTGGATCGGTTGGAACAATCTCGTACGTGATATCTGTCACTTGGCGAACGATACGGAATGGTCCAGTATAGAGCGACAACAGTTTTTCAGGCAGTCCCACACGCCGAGTAGGTGACCAGAGGAGCACGAGAGAACCCGGAGAAAAGTGCACGTCCCTATGGTGAGAATTGTAGAGCTGTTGTTGGCGCGCCAGTGAAGCCTGTAGACGGTTACGGGCGACTTGGCGCGCGTTGTCGGCGCGGGCAATGGCTTCCCCAGCATATTCAGTGGCCGCATGTAGTAACGTGTCTAAAGGTAGAGTTGGGTCCCCGCCATATAGTAGATAGAAGGGCGAATATCCGTCAGTGTTGTGACGAGATGAATTGTAGGCGAACATCACATACGGCAAATGAATGTCCCAATCATGGTGGTCTGGCGCAACGTATTTGGCAAGCATATCGGTTAGGGTCCTGTTAAAGCGCTCCGTGAGGCCATTTGACTGGGGATGGTACGAAGTAGTAAATTTGTGCTTGGTATGGCAAGACCTCAGGATTTCATGAATGACAGCTGATAAGAACGTGCGCCCACGGTCGGTGAGAAGTTGACGAGGAGCACCGTGCACTAATATTATGTCGTACAGCAGAAAGTCCGCAACGTCGGTAGCGCAGCTGGTCGGGAGTGCTCGTGTGATTGCGTACCGCGTCGCGTAGTTCGTGGCAACAACAATTCATTTATTCCCGGCTGTGGAGAGTGGAAAAGGGCCCAAGAGGTCGAGACCAACTCGAAAGAAAGGCTCGTTGGGAACGTCGATCGGCTGAAGGTAGCCGGCTGGGAGGGCAGACGGCGTTTTGCGACGCTGACAGGGCTCACAAGCGGCGACATAGCGTCGAACAGAGCAGGCAAGTCCATGCCAAAAAAACCGACGTCGTACCCGATCGTATGTGTGAGAAACGCCCAAATAACCCGTCATGGGAGCGTCATGAAGTTGATGCAGGACAGTGGAACGCAGGTGCGCTGGGATGACAGCAAGCAAGTCTGATCCGAAGGAATCAAGGTTGCGGCGGTATAGGATCCCGTCTTTCACCAAAAACATTCGTAGGGACGGGTCGCGAGGCGTTAACTTCAGTTTCTCAATGATGGCTCGTAAAGAAGCATCACAACGTTTCTCTTCGTCAATGTTTAACAGCTGCGACACGGAAAAAACGTCCGTGATAGCATCCGTATCGGTTGCTTCGTCAACAGGGTAGCGGGATAAACAATCCGCATCCTGATGTAATCGCCCTGTTTTGTACATTACAGAGAATGTGTACTCTTGAAGGCGTAGAGCCCAACGAGCGAGACGTCCCGTGGGGTCCTTCAGGGAGGCTAGCCAGCAGAGCGCGTGATGATCCGTGACAACACGGAATGAGCGCCCGTACAGGTATGGGCGAAACTTGGCGACTGCCCATACAAGGGCGAGGCACTCGCGCTCCGTGATGGAATAGTTGCGCTCGGCTGGAGATAGCAGTCGACTTGCGTAGGCTATAACACGGTCGTGTCCGTGTTGTTGCTGCAATAGCACAGCTCCTATGCCGTGTCCACTGCCGTCCATGTGAACCTCGGTTGGGGCTAATGGATCAAAGTGAGCCAAGATTGGTGGCGTTGTAAGCAGTGTCGTAAGTTGTGAAAACGATGACGCTTGGTCATGGCCCCAGGTAAACAAGGCGTCTTTTTTCAAGAGGTCTGTGAGTGGGCGTGCAATGGTCGCAAAGTACTTAACAAAGCGTCTGAAATATGAGCACAACCCCACAAATCTGCGGACATCCTTTGTGGTCCTTGGAACGGAAAAGTTCGTGACTGCGCGAATTTTCTCTGGGTCTGGACGCATGCCTTGGGAATCGACATGGTGACCGAGCACGGAAATTTGACGACGAGCGAAGCGGCACTTGGAGGCGTTAAGCTGGAGTCCGGCTCGACAAAAAACGTCCAGAATAGCTGACGAACGATCAAGATGCGAGTCGAGTGTGGGCGAAAAGACAATAACATCGTCAAGGTAACACAAGCAGGTGGACCATTTCAACCCTTGGAGCAATGAGTCCATCATTCTTTCAAATGTGGCTGGTGCATTGCAGAGTCCAAAGGGCATCACCTTAAACTGATAAAGACCATCAGGAGTGATGAATGCGGTCTTCTCGCGGTCCATCTCGTCGACGGCTATCTGCCAGTACCCTGACCGAAGGTCAATAGTTGAAAAATAAGGGCACTGTACAGGCAGTCGAGGGCGTCGTCGATGCGAGGTAAAGGATAAACGTCTTTTTTGGTAATTTTGTTAAGGTGACGGTAATCGACACAAAAGCGCCATATTCCATCTTTCTTTTTAACAAGGACGACTGGAGAAGCAAGAGGCTGCATGAAGGCTCGATAATGTTTTTCGCAAGCATTTTGCCGACTTCATGTTGTAATATTGCACGCTCCGACGCAGACACACGGTAGGGGCGTCGGTGAATGGGGGTTGCATGGCCAGTATTTATGCAATGGGTGACAATGGTCGTTTGGCCTAAAGAGTTGCTGGCAAAGTTGAAAATGCTACAATAGCCCTCAAGAACGTGGCAACGCGCTGCAGCTTGCTCAGACGTGAGGTTCGATGACACCATTCGCTCTATGTCGCCGCCCCAAGAACGTGATGGAGTGGAACCACTGACTGAGCTGCAGCAATCGTCAACTCTGAAGGGCTCGACATGGTCATCTTGGAGAGCAGTAATTTTGGCCAGGGAGATACCCTGTGGCAGAACTTGGGTGGTGAGTGAAAAGTTGACCAGTGGAAGGAAGGTGCGGTTTCTCTTAATCGTCAGAATCATTTGCGGCACAGCAACCCCATGCGTAAGCATCACTGCAGGAATCGGGGCCACCATGTAATCACCATCAGGTACTGGCGGCGTGGAGGATAAGTCGACATGTGTGACAGAGTTAGGAGGGAGGCGTGTGAAATCAATGCAGCAGAGGCTGGTTTGCGGTGGGCTAGGCGGGTCGGAAAAGAGGGGTAAAAGAGATGGAGAGACCAGCTGAACAGTCTATGAGGGCAGAGTGCGTGGCTAGAAAATCCATACTGAGAGTGAGTTCATGAGGGCAATGTTTGATATCGGTGAAAAGAACGACAGTGCTTCTCTCCCCAATAGACACTCGCGCAGAGCACATGCCAAGAATTGCGGCAGTTCCTCCATCGGCGACTCGTACAGCTCGGTTGAGGGCGGGCGTGACAACTTTTCTAAGTCGGCGGCGAAGGTTAGCATTCATAATGGACACATGCGCGCCAGTATCCATCAATGCACTGACACGAACATTGTCGACAGTAACGTCCAAAAGGTTCCGGTTCGTTGTTAACGTTAATCGAGGATTTCTTACGAAGGTCGTGAACGCAGCTTCACCTCCAGAAGCTGCACGGCCTAGTTTTCCGGTCGGAGAGGCTGCGAATAGGTCGGGGAGGCAGCACGGCGTTGTGGGGCGACCGGGACTGACGACGAGCAGGGGACGGTGACCGGTTGTAGCGAGGTCTGCTCAGAGGTGCTGTAGGAGCGTAAAATGTGGTCTGCGTTGATGGAGAAAGTGATGGGGACGACTGGCGAGCAGAAGTGGTGTGATACT